AAACTGCCAGTCCGCTGATTTAAGGACGTTGCAGAAGGAAAGTTGCTGTTTTGTTACTGTAAAAGGGTGGCACATCTCTGCAGCTTCTTTTGATGCAGGCTGCATGAATGAGTATATAACGTGTATGCCAGAAGGAAGTGGATCTGGACAAGTACAGCAAGTTAAGACAATTCAAAGCTTTGAGACAAAGAAAAAAGAAATCCATTAGGAAGAACACATACTAAATGCATGAACAATGCCCATGCAAAAAACGTAAGGACTTGTTTTGCTTGAAAGAACAAATAGCATTTTCTCTATGAATTCTGCTCATTTTGCAGACAAAGCTACCAAGCTCGCTGGACAAAAGTACAAAAGTCGTAAGAGAAGTAGAAGGCTCAATCTTGATATTTTTTCTCGTGTTAAGGATGGTTTTCAACATGCATGTGCCATGTAGAGTAGGCTTCTCTTCACTTTCAAATGACTTAACTTTCAGATGACTAAGTCTGCAGTAGTACACCTTAACCATTAGGCACATCTGACTTACAGACTGAAAGCTCAAGCCTTAGCACCATTAAAGCAGGAACTCTTGGTCGTATGTTAAAACTTAAAAGTCTCTGAAGACACAATGGATTCAATTTAATTATTAGTCTCTTTAGTTGTGCAACTCATAAGAACAAAAGCCTATGATACAGACATGGCCAAAAGTGAATTTGGCTGAATATCCCATCACAGGAGCTGAGGGAGTGACAGTCAGTGCCGTAGAGAGTACAAGGGCAGAGCATGGAGAGGGTGATCCTTGCACTGGTATTGTCAAACAGTTTTCTGGCAACTGTTAAAGGTGTTTCCTGAGCTTCATACTGCATCTAGATAATTGTGTCTAATAGCCGTTTATGGAATGATTTGCCACTCATGCCTTTTGGCTTCTATAACATCCCATGGCAATGAATTCTGCGATTGCCTTCTGTGCCGTGTGAATAGCATTGCCAACAGCACAGGCCACACCTTCCCAGGGATTCAGTAATATGCTGCCATCATCTTACTTTTGTCTTGTTTAATCTCATGAATCATGAGCACTACAGCAAAGATTTCCATGTCTGTTTTTTCCAGTGCGAAAAAGCTTTTTCAAAGCAACAGCTACCAATGGGCAAATGAACCAGAATACTTCTGAGTAAGAACATGCGTTTCTCACATAGCTCAGGCTACCAAAAGAAATACAGATATTTGCAGGAATAGAAAAAGATGCAGAAAGGACAGTGAATGCTCTCACCGCTGGAACACCCTGAGTAGGAAGCAGTGGAGACTAAGGAGAAGAAAAGCCAGGATAAATCAGCAACTTTAAATTAAGGGTGAATGAGAAGAAGAGACTGGGAGAGGGCAGAAAAAGGCCTTTGGATTTCCACCAGAATTAAACTGGAGAAATGGGAGCAGGAGAGAGGAGAAGCAGGTTAAAGAGATTTTGTTCCTATCTTCATCAGCACAGAGGGAGTAGAAAACAAGACCTGGACAGCCTCTCTTTCAAGTCTGCTGCCCTAGGCAACTGTTTACTTTGCCCAAGATAGCGTGAGACATTATAAAATGAGTTTCCACAATGCTCTGAGTCACCAGAATACGGATGAGATCTGTGGATTCAAGCCACCTTTCAAGATTATGAATCTCTTCTGAATATCCATTATGCCAATGATACATAACAAAATCACAGCTGTAATGTGATGCACATGTCAACTTTAAGGATACAGTCCCCGCTCAGATGGCATCAGCACAGGGACACGTCAGCATGGTGGATTACCAGAGCAAATGCTTTAACATGCAATGTGATGCAATGTGTTTTAACAACAATTGTTCCCTTATGTTTGTTTGTGTCAGGTTTGACGTGACTATCCGCCAGGACAATGCTCAGGATTCTGTGCATTGCTTTGCAGAAACTGATTATGTGATCAAATGCTTAAAGCACATAAAATCACGCCCAAGATTCGAGGAGATATATGCCAGAAAATTCAGTAGGTGTTTAAAATAATTGACGCTAACAGCTAGACCTGGGTTTTTCAAAGGAATAAGCGTTTTTGTTTCTTTGTTTTTCCTAATGCAATATAATATAAACTGCCTAGAAATTCAGCCTTAGCATAATGTTCAGATCAAATGAAATTCACCCGTTAAGAAAGAATATACACAGGGTCCTCCTTGAAGTGGAAAAAACAATGTTTGAGTAGAACAGATACCCTGTGAGACTTCTTACTCTGTGCACATGCCCAAAAAGACAGCTCTGATTCTAACTGCGTTGTAGATCTAGTGCTTGTAGGATTTGGAGACTCAACACTGAGCTGTAGCTCTCGGCAGCCCTTTTTCCCCAGTCTGTGAAACTCAGAATCCAGTGGAGACAAAAACCTCTATAGAAATACTGTATATGTCAATGGCCACTTAAGAGCAGGGTTACCTGCTCTTAAATTAGTCATATTTACATTGCATTCTCAGAATACACTGAAGTATCAAACAGTCCCCAAAGTGAAGAAATGTGATCCTCATTCAAGACGTAAGGGCAAAAGGCAAAACAAGTGTGTCGCTTGCTCTTAAGTCATTATGTCACATTAAGACTTCATTCTGTTCTCCCAGTTCTGGGTTTAGTCTTGTTCTGCCAGCTCACTAGACAGTTTTGCAAGATCTTCATGCTCTCATAGGTATTTAAGCACTGAAATCAATGAGAAGTGGTACCTGTATACTTCCAGAAATCTGTCTTTAATTTCACCATCCCATAAATCTCTTTAACGGAAACATCCTTCATCTTTTCTGCCTCACAAGCGACTTGTGAAGCTTAATTACACAATGATTACTAAGTCCAGTAAATACTACATATATTAAGAGTAGTTAATGAGATTTCTGTCACAAGCAGACTCTCTCTTGTGAAATATTACTCTCATGTTGCAGAAAAAAAACTCAAGAAAAAAAAAATACAGACGCATTCAATATAAAACAAATCTAGCTTGATTACTTCCACAAATAATATATTATACAACTCAGTAGCATTTGTTAGCACAGTGTGGAGAATAGCATAGGCTTTTCCGACCAGCGTGGAATTCTGTTTGCACATCCATGACCTGACTTTACCTGCAGTGCCCAGCCAGGACAGGGACTCCAGACTCAAACACAATCTGCTTCCCATGGGATCTAGAGACTTAAATACCACTGAAGACCAGATATGAAGTTCTGTTCCTTCAAATCACAAAATTGCAGAATCATAGAATGGCTGGGTTGGAAGAGACTCAAAGAATCATCAAGTTCCAACCCCCTGCTGCAGGCAGGGCCACCAATCTGTGGTAGTTATAATTATTTCCCAAAAAGATGCCAGCATACTGACCAATTACCTCATTTTATAGCACAGTGGAAGATGGCTAGACAACTATGAGCAGACAGACAGTCGTACAGAGGGCATTGCTTGCATATTTAGTGCTTTCTCAGGCCATACAAAAGCATACAGCCTAACTAGGGCAGGAGTATTCAAAAGAGGAAGACCATTCCTTAAGATTACAGAGCTCTTGGGCACACTTCTTTTCTGTGAACGTACAGTTAGCTGTTAAAATACATTTCCTGTTAGCAGTTATGGCTCAGAGCTCACAAAGGCTTTTACAGAACCTGGACAGGAGTGATTTTCAGTACGTGGTGTCTCTGACAGCAAGTTCTATTAATATTCACCAAAGAAAAACCTGTTTGTTGACCCAAAGTGTGACTGCTTGCTATTCTCTTCTTGTGAAATTATTTAGGTCCTGTGGGACAACTGTACTGAGCTTTTGACGCAAATATTAAAATTCTATTTAGATGTACAACGTTTTAATGCAAATTTTTACCATAAAACCAAATGCTCCATTCAGTTAAATTAATAGAATTACAAAAAGATGTAATGATAGCAATTAAGTCTTGAAAATGCAAATTTTATAGTCAAGGACAATTACCTCATTTATAGTATCCTGGAATGATGCCAGATGAAGGTAATTTAGATCTCCCTAGCTCACAGTTATATCATGAAGGATATCTTAATTTCATTAGTACAACAAAGATGGGTGAGAAGTTAGACAATATGAAAGAAAAAAAAAAGAGAGGGAGAGATGTGAGAGAAAATCTGACCTTTCTCATTTCATTGCAACTAGAATACATAGATCTTACTAAAGTATTAGTAATATTTCTTTCTTCTCCCATCTCTGAAAA